CGGCCCTGCTAAGACCTTGAAAAGAACGGTCAGGAGTAGTGTTCATCAATTTCTGACATGCTAAACCTACTCCTTAGTCCATAGAAAGAGTTCACTACAACACGTTAAGAGGCAATATATCATTTACAATCCCGGAACATCTGATGCCTGACTATATACCAAATTCCTGTCGAGAGTCTGCAACCCATCAAAAAGACAATTAGTCGCCGACCCTTTATTGGTCGGCGTAAACTCACTTGATTCATCCATCCAATCTAACACTTTGGTTTCCGAGAAGCTCTCATGTATGTACACAAATGCCCAAGGTATACTCAGCAAACTAGCTGAAGTAAGACTTCGACACGCGTCAGCAGCTTGGGACCTCATCGCTGTCACCAAAACGTGGTTGCGCTGTGAGAAAACGATGCCGAAATCGCGATAACAGGCATGTCCGTTGTCCAGAAGGATCGATCCAGCAAAAGTATAGGGCTAGCCCTCTACTTTCTTAACAATCTGCAATGCGAACCCATAAACGACTCGGAAACAGACGTACCTGACTCCATTTGGTGTAATTTCCGACTGAGAGGGAACGATATTGGTCTATTGGTTGTCGTTTACCGTCCACCACCGTCTACACCTGAGATGGACTGCAACTTGGTGGCTGCGTTGAGGCAAATGATAAACAGGAAGTACAGTCACATTCTAGTCACCGGCGACTTCAACTTACATGCCGCACCAGGAGAGCAATTCAAAGCAGACCTGCAAGTTCTGGTTTCAGCCTTCCTGCTTTATGGCCACCTCACTACGCCCAGCAGATTCAGGGGAACTAACAGGCCATCCATATTGGACCGAATATTCACTAATGAAGAACTGATGGTCGAGAGAGTGATAACAGATACTCCTCTGGGCCGCAGCGATCATGCGACGCTAGTGTTTTATTTCATGTGCCACGCGGATTAGCCTAAAGAGTATGCTGAGGAATATCATATCGTAACCAACTATGACAACCTGTCCGACCTCATTGATGCAACCAGCTGGTCGTTCTTAGCCGAATTGACCCCTGAGGTGGCCTGCGGAGAATTCGTCAACATATTAAAGTAGTTCGTGGCAAGGACATCTGAAACCAAACTCTACCTGCCTAAAAGGATGAAGTCTTTCGTAAGGAGCAGGATACGTAAATGCATGGCATTAAGGGACTTGGCATGGCGTACTTACATATCCACCCCGAACGACGACACCTGGGATGTCTACACAATACAAAGGAACCACTGTGTCAAACTCGTCCAGAAAGATAAACCGAAGAACCAACAAGGTCTGGTGGAAAAGTTTTGCTCCAATCCCAAACTGCTATACAGACACGTAAACAATTTGCGCCGTGTTAAGCGCGGTACTCCTGCTTTCTACACAGTTTGCGGGTTAGTCCAAACCGCACACGAGGTGACCAACCTTCTTGGACAAAAATTTGCCTATATATCTTCCAAAGCATGTAACCATCATACATCCTGCCTAAGCAAATAATGCCACCATCAGGGCTTAATCCCATATCGTTCACCTCCGCAGCTGTACTGAAGAGGCTGATGTCTCTGCGCGAGTTCAGCTCCTTGGGTGCGGACGGCATTCGCCCGAGGGAGTTGCAAGTTGCTGCCATGAGTTTGTCGGCGTCACTAGAAATTTTCTTTCAACGATGTCTGAACGAGATGCACGTCCCCACGATGTGGAAGCACGGAATCATCACGCCTATCTACAAAAGTAGCAGTCGTGCTGAACTAGCAAATTATCGCCTGATAACACTACTTCCTGTGATCACCAAGGTTATGGAGTCCATTGTAGCTGAAGGTTTGATAGGGTACCTGGAGAAAAACAAAATTCTCGTTCTGGAACAGCATGGATTTAGCCAAAATCGGTCTTGTACCACTAATCTGTTGATTGCTCGTGCAAGCTGGACGGAATCCGTGGACGCTGGTGTAGGAGTCGACGCGGCCTACCTGGATTTCTCAAAGGCACTGAATGTCTAGATCATCACATTCCACGCCCGAAAATCCAGAAATATGGAATCAGCGATCCTGTTCTTTGCTGGATAGGAAACTTTCTCATGCAACGTCTCCTGAATGTGAGGGTTCGAAGCAACCTATCGGAATCCATCGAAGTTCAGTGCGGCGTACCTCAGGGATCGGTACTTGAACCCCGCCTGTTCCTGGTTTTCATAAATGATCTCGCGAACGTGCTATCTTCTAACTGTTTGATATTTGCTGATGATCTAAAAGTATGGCGTATTCTAGCTGCAGTGGAGGACCTGGTCAAAGCGTACACATGGTCCATCGAGAACATGCTGCATTTCAACGTCACCAAGTGTAAGGTTCTCGGCATATGGCACAAGAGTAGGCACAAGTACCACCTTGGACCACAAATTCTACAGTGGGCTTCCCACGAGTGCGATCTCGGTGTGATAGTTCAAGACGACCTCGGTTGTTTGGGGCAGATTGAAAAAGCAGCTAAGAAAGCAAACCAGTACCCCGGCCTTCTTCGCAGAGCTTTCGGGAAGTTTGGCTCTTCAGTCTTTCCGAAAATGCTTAGTGCGTACGTGAGGCCGCACGCGGAATACGCCATTCAAACATGGCAACTCTGGCTCAAGCACCATCTCACCGCGCTAGATAATGCACAGTGTAGAGCAACGAATAGCGTCAGAGGTTTGACCAACATCCCCTACCCACTCAGGCTGAAGCCCCTCAAAATATACAGTGGACGTTATCGGCGTCTAAGAGGCGATCTTATAATGGTGTACCTGATCCTGAGAGAGCGCAACCACCCATGCCATTCCCTTCTTATATTCAGTCAAAACACCCCGCTAAGTGATCATCAATTTAAGCTGGTCACGCAGTACAGCCGACTGGAATGTCGGCGAAACTTTTCTCCCTTCCAGTGTCAGCCTTGGAACGCCCTCCCGGAACATGTAATTAATGCTCCAACCCTATCCCCTTTCAAAAAAACGCCTTGACTCTCACATTTACACTACGTGGTATAGCCCATGACCATCAGATGCTAGCAATAATGCACAACAGACAGTGGACAGTGCCATAATCCTACTCGAGAATGAAGCACTCCAAACCCCTTGTACACAATTTGATAAAGGCTGCTACTGTAGAAATTGGATTTCTGTATCCCGTCGACCCGAGATAGCTGCACACGAGTAAGCATTGTCCTTGCTGTTGTTTAGTTTTTTCGCGCTTATTACGCGATCAATATCCATACCCTTATTGCTTTGTGTGCGTACATTCTAATTTCAAACTCCCTTTATACGACAGTGCAGGTAAATCTGTAATCGCCCGATCCGATTAGTCCATTATCACTGGATCTATGTTTTCTCACTCTAACCACCCTGCGGGACATGTCAAGCACCAGCTTTTTTACGCTTTATAAACCATTGTTCCTTTTTTCAACATCAACTGAAGGTGGCATAGCCAGCATCCTCCTGGAGTACATACGGTGCCTGGCCTCGAGTGCTCAAACGTACGTCGAGCGACTACGACCTGAACTCAAGGAAGGAACTATAAATTTAAAACCACATGTGCAACTAAGCACAGTGGAACTCCAACCTCTACCAGTTGTAAAGAGTGACAAAATTCACGTGCTACCAAATGAACCCAAATCAGCCTATTCGACCTGGCGGTTCACGGTTGTAATTATTTAGCCTGCTTGTTGGTAGCTTGTTTTACGCATTGCGCCGTGGAAATTATGACACCTATGGACGAGGACAGAGTTTAGGTGGTGTCATGCGATGTTTGGTAGTTCTACACAAAAATTCTTCACATTTATCTAAGTACCGTTTACTACCGCTCGAGTGATGCGCGTGACTAGCTGGTGTAGCTAATGGGGCTCAATGTGGGTAGCGAAAAACCATAGAGCTCAATATCTATCGTACGGTACGGTGTATGTATTGTAACACAACTGAAAAGCATTATGGTGTATGCACTCGAAGTAATATTGGTATGAAATATCATCAGGTTGTTCCGCTATTTCCTACAGACAGTAAAAACGGGTAAGCCGTTGCTAAGGTTTCTGTCCAAGTTTCCGCCTGGAAATGATGAGGGGTGCAATGGACAGCTTACCGATGAGAGGGGATGAGCTAGCTCAGCGGTTAACTAAAACAAGCATGAAAAAGCAATGCAATGGGTCAAACTAGGAATCAGTTATTCGGTGGTGCCTTCAAGTTGCTGTAATGAGCACTGTAGGATATGACATTCGGGATGAAAATATGACCGCACATAATGGTTTGTTTCACCTGACGTTGGATACGGATGCATGATTCTTGTTTGCTGGGACCACATGTACCAACCATAGTGCACTCAATTATCCGAGCAACACCTGACGTTTTGGAAGGTTTTCACCGCTGCCCTCAAAAGCACTGGTGTTACATAAACAACAGTGAGGGTGCAACGACGAAGCTCCCAACGGCTAACCTAACCTGTTTGGTCCAGAGATGGTCGAACGGGTCCGACCCACCGATTGGAATGTAGCACAGCAGCCAATTGTTCGACACCTTGAAGTTGCATCGTACGGTCAAACAGGGGTGGTGCTATGTGAAGTTCGCGTGGCTCTTACAGGTAACAACAAAACGAATATGTTGTGGTTAAGGACAGCGGCTAGAGATAATACAGAAGATGAAAATTTGTATTACTCTCTTGCAAAAGTGGATTTCCAGTGGCATGGCAATAGCTTGTTTTTTGGTACTATCCCGTTAGCTCATTGAGTTCTAGCCCATATGGTGAGAACTAATCTGAACTCCCCTTGAAGAAAAAGCCAGCGCGGCCACATGTAAACTGCAGGCAAGTAAGTAAGCACGGTTGGGCACACTAAACAAACCTTTATAAGCAACGCAAATAGATAAAACTGGTGAGCAAATAAGTAACTGAACCGCAACTAAACCTGTAAGGTGAATGTTTGTAGCACAGAAATAAGAAGTTGATCTCTACAAAGAGTGACAAGAAGTGGTGCCTTATGTGTTGTCATGTCCAAGAACTCACCAGGTCCGTTTCTTGACCGGCCATCATCAAATAGTTTCCAGGAAGGAAAAACGCCATTTGCTGCACCGACAGAAAATCCCTATCGTCTTCACTTAGCTGACTGACTCTCCAAATAGGACTGCATGTGACCAGCCTTGTGTCGTTAATCACTTCAAAGTGAAAAAAGAAAAATTTTATGAATACACATAGCTTGAGTGAGCTGGATAACACATAGACAATTTCAGTTAGCACAGGCACCTTGTAACAGTTGGGCATTCAGATCATCCGTTCGTGTGGGTACGCGCCGATTGATATTGATGGTGAATAGGCACACCTTCGTTCCGGGATTGATGTGTGCATCTGCTAGAGGATCATCGGCGAACCATATGAAGTCTGCTGGATAGAGAGTATCGGAAGCAAATATTGCACTATCAATGCGTCATTAAATCATGTGTATTGATTACAATACTGAATTCAGTTGAGTCGGCTTGCATGTAATGGCAGACAACTAAAGGTGACACAAAGATGAACAAAATTGCCGATGGCAGACAGAAGGAATGGTAGAATCCCGCTGCAGCCAATTGTTAACCACTCCAGTCGAACAAAACTTCGGGCTCAGGAACATAGGAGCACCCTTCTCTGAAACGCTGTCCTTAAACTCTGGTAGTGAGTATAAAATACACATCGGACGACAGTTTTGAGATATTCAAACGGATGGGACGGTCTGTAACCTACACTATACACAGGAATAAACTATGGTACGTGCGTTCACAAGAGTTGCGCCAGCGGAGATAGAATCCCGGCAATATGGCCTCAGAAACCGCTCTTAAGTGCTGCATTTTTTCTTGTAGACCGCGTTAAATGAAACGCCAATAGGAGTGTTTGCTGTTATTTTACTAGACGGCCAATTGAATCGTGAAGACTGCCCTGAGTTGACTTCGCTAGTATCGTAATTGAGGTTTGCTTGAATGGTGGTGTGATACCACGAGTGTTGGAGTATACCTCAGTGCAATCTTGTGGTTCCATAAGGTGAAAGTGAACAAGAGAAACCTTTGCATAATAACCGTTATCGATCGGTTACACTAGTTTACTGCAATCTAATGAATATGTCGAGGAACCTCCCCGTGACAAATGAGCCATGCGGCTCACTTTTGCCGGAAAGGGTGTACTACGCATAATGATCTCTTCTGATAAGTGGAAGTACGTGTCAACTCGGATATCTAGTATGATAGAAGATGGCGCCCGCTGGTTTTTCCGTGAGCGCCATTCCCTCCTTTTTGCGGGGGAACTCCTGAACAGATGTCGTGACAGCTAGCTTCCCAGGGTGCAAAAGCTGCAGGACCTTTCAGAGGATCATGACTGCCATTGACTTTATCAAATGGAAAGCAAACCTGAGGAACCTATCCATGGAATGACTACTTCCTGCCAGGTGGTGTGTACTTTATCCTACCGATTACCTAAATGCGTAGTATCAGAATAATCAAATGCAAATAGCTCACTGCATACCATCGTCCTGGCTGTCCAATATCGTCCTCACCGCCGGGATCATTTCAGAAAGCACGTTGGTTGAATTTAAGATAACCACACCTTGGACGTTTAAGTTCGCCCGCCAAAACTGCAGCACAATTTTCATTTCTGACTGAACCTGACAGAAAAGGGAAATTATCCACCACAGTTGTTTAAATGGGATGACACGTTTGTTACATATAGTTATGTGAAAGAATGAAACGGGCAGATCAACCGACGAGAAGTAGCTTAGGACCTGCTGGCCAAGTTTGTGTGTGGAGTATTTGTACGTCTTTGTTCCGATAAACGGTGCGCTACCCAGTAGATACAGCAAACCGACTGTTATTGCTCGATGACACAGGCTAACTAGTTGAAGAAAGCCAGCCTCTAGAATGATCAGTGCACACAATTGCGTCCCCTTTTCGAGGAACTGTACGAAGTCCTACGGACAACCAGGTAAATCATTTAACAACCTACGTTCGTTTCGAAGACGCATTGAGAATTGGCAAATCTCAAACTCAACAAGGTCATAGTGATGAACGCGCTGCCTCCGCCAAACTACGGAAACGGGGTAAGGGGGAAGGTCAGTCGGGTTAAACTATCCGATTGGAGCAAACCGTTCATAGGGTTAGAAGCATTACGCCGCCGAAAGTACCACAATCGTGTGTGGCTAACAAGCGCGCTCAAATTCTCCTACAAGCCCAGCGGGTTTGAACGACTGTAGAAATCCCCCGAAATAAGTTGTGTGCACCCATACGGGCTTGTTGGTGAGGATTTAAGTGCAGATCGTTACAAGGTTACAGCATTACAGTAGTACTTTCTCCCTCGGCTCAAACCCCCGGATCAAGCAGAATATTCGTGCTCGCACAAAACAATGAAAACATAGATGAAAGACTTAGCTTGCTTTCAATGAAGTGAATGCGTTTCCGGGTGGGGTACTCTGTTATAAGTAGTGGTTTTGGGAAGTTTGCCAAAGTGATGTCGGAATTTAGCCACGAGTTATTACTCGTAGTTCAATTTTCCCCTCCTCAAATGAACCGGTCGTGCAGGGCTCGAGAATCGATCGGTCGAAATAACATTTATATGGGAATGACTGCCGCTGATTGGGTTTAAACTGCTAAGCTAAGGAAAGCATTAGTTGGGGTGTTGAGCAATTTGCAAATATAACAAACGACGTTGATCAAAGCCAGCATATTTCCCTAAAAACCACAGCCAACTATTGAAAATGTTCCCCTTCGACTGCATATAGTTGAGCTTGACCTTGACTTGGTCTTTGCCTTCATTGGGGATAAATGTTGCGTATGAAGGAAAAAGTTGTTTTGCGATTCGAATAGTTGGCATTTGTATAACCGACATTGGCTTGTGGACTGTCAAGGAAGACCCACACAAAATGGGACACCTATGTAAACCAAGGGGAGAAAGTCTGATAGCCAGAAGACATAATCCACCACGTAAGGTGGAGACGAATGAAAAGCAACGAGCTAACATCATATGTATAGGGGATCCTATCCTCTTTTTCTTTGCTCTTCCCCCCCCACCTTCCCCCCCCCCC